CACACACACACACACACACACACACACACACACACACACACACACACACACACAGCGTGGGGGGTGTGGAAATATCATGTGCCATAAAGCTTTGCGCGTTGTCTTTTAGCACATTTCAGTGGACAGTTTGGAACATTCTGTTTAAGCCAGTTTGTGTGTTTTACAGCACAAAAATAAAATCCAGATGTTCCACTTCATCATTTCCTTTCTTTTCCCCAGCAGATCCACAGCATGAGCCAAGGTTTACAAGTTTTAGCTCATCCTGTCTCTGTTTCCCTTTGGGACTCATATGGCACTCATAAATTTAGTTTGTGATTTAAGCATAAACCCAGCAGTTGTTAGCTCCTTTCTCTTAATTTTTTTCATATTTTTCCCTTTTTTGTTTGATTTATTTTACATTAAAGGGGTCGTCTTCTCATATATAAAGTGTTGTATAAAATAGCAGTCATGCTGCATTCCATTTGTCACAAGTCAGAGTTCCAAGTTGGTTAAAAAACATCTGGAACACCCTCTCCAAAGTCGGAGTTGATCAGCCCTGAGCTCAAAATCCAATATGGCTGACTATTGTCACTTAGGCATCTACGTCAACACACGTGACACTTTCCAACATATTTGTGACATTAGCAGCCATTTGTTTGAAATGCAGATGTTCACTGGCTGTGTCTCAATTCAGGGGCTGCGTTCTTAGAAGTCTGCACAAAATACCAAAATTGAAGGCGGCACCTGAGTAGCCCAGGATTCATTGTGCTGTCAGCAAACTAAACAGGAAAATAAAGACGTTTGAGGTTTAGTGTTTTTGTTTTATTTTTTACCAAGGTTCGGTAGTTTGGGAATTCATCACGGACCAAAAAAATTTGGTTTTAAATGTATGTTTATGACTTTACTGATGAAATTTATGTTGCAACAAGATATTAAATACAATGCAATTGCAAACACTGATACAGGAGCTAAACCCAAATTAGTAATGTTTTCTTTATTTATTTGCATGTAACATTTTTAATTGAAGGTAATCCTCCAGTGAGAAGACAGTACATGTCACAACACATTTTATGTCTGACGGCATGTGATATAAATCGTAACACCATGGTAAAGGTCGCAGATCCAACTGGTTTTACCACTTTTAAGTAAAAGATTGTAAAGTTGAGTCTAACTTCATTCCCAGATCCAAATTCTGGAACATAGCCAAAGTGCCTTATCAGCCATGACACCAGTCATATCAGCGTAAGCCTGAAAAATCCTATAAAAATATGCTTTGTAGCCTAGGGTGCAACAATACATGTAACTGTATCAAATTGTTCAATACAGTACGCACTTGTATCGAACAATACAGATTTTTAAAATTTATTTTGTCAACTTGTCCTCTTAAGATGCTCTGTGTTGAAGGCTCAGTGGATCTGTGTTCGACTACTCCACCTAGGTTACATTGTCGAGCACAGATCCACTGAGAAACTTGCTGTTTCAGCAACATTTAATTCAAAAAACTGTACTTTTGGAGTTAAACAAATGTTCATAGTTAATTTCAATAAACTACAACTTAGGAAGGGTGTGGAAATTTCTCTTTTTTGTATAGAAAAAGTATTGAACCGTGAGACTAGAGCATCAAACCGAACCGTGAATTTTCTGTACCGTTGCACCCCCACTAGCCTGGACAAAGACTTTTTCCTTTTTCATCATACTTTGTGCTCTAGGTCCGAATAAGGTATTAACTATTGATAACTATTTGACTGAACATCACTTCAAAGATGACGCTTTAAAGAGCAGTCGCTTTTCTGTTTTTCCCTCCCCTTCATAGGTGTAATAAGGAGGGGTGAGGTGAGCTTGTTAGTCATCACGGCTGCGTCTGAGACTGCAGGTGCCGTTTCTGGTGAAAGAACCTCTATCCAGCCTCCGAGGAGGTAATAATATCCTCACCGTCATTATCTCGAAAGCCCGTCCCAAGTGGCTATGATGTCATGTGTCTGTAAATCAGGAGCTTCATAATGTTAGCAGGTCTTAGTCTGGTTGCAAAACATTTACATCAGATTGCTTTCAGTGCTGTAGAAATGTGTTTTCATCAGGGCAAAATATGGGCATTTCCAAACTACTTTCAGAAAGGAAAAAGAAAAATGAAAGACCGCTTTCAAGAAAATAAAACTGATCGGCTGCGTGACAGAGACTTTCAGATACACTTTTATTATGAGTAATGCCACAACTCTGAACAGGAAACAGATGGTACTTCTTCAAATGATTTCGGATTCACACATGGTGTTTTTTTTTTTTTCTCCCTCCAGGTTAGATTTGTGTGAATTACGTCAGAGAGTGTTGGGATGGGAAACTACTCCAAACCCCCCAGACTGCTCACCTCCAGCGGTGCAGAACTTATTAGTAAACACTGTTTCCAGATGAGTCTTTGTCTGGACTTTACCAGTTTCAACAGCGGTGACTCCTGTGATTTGTCTTTATGCTTTATTAGTGAGACAAATATTGCGCAATCCRCTCACGCAGCACTCATTTCTGCCACCCCCGCAGGGACGTTGCGATAGCTACTCTCTCTTAACAAAACTGAACTTGTAACAACAAGAACATAAAATTACTAATACCCATGTTAAAAAAAATATTAAATCTGCAATCTTGAGGGAAAACAGTTCACTTTCACAATTGTACAGCTTCTGTTGTCACTTTCTGTGTTCTCTAACCCAAGGAGTGAGCTAATGGATGTGTAGCAGGAAGCCCTCGTGGCCTGACTGCTCACTGTCAGCAGGTTTATTGTGGCACACTTTCAGGGGCTTTACTTCGCTAAAGCGGCCCCACCGCTGTGTCTCTCACTGGGCCTTTAGGGGAGGGGTCAAGAGCCTGACCTCACTTCCTGTTGGGGGGCTCCTCACAAGCATTCCATTGTCTGTGAGAATGTGCACAGGCTCAGGGGACTCTGCACATCTGGCAGCTGTTATTAGCAACCTCCTGTGCCCACCCCTTCATCCCTGATGAGCATTACTTCATTTGCCTCAAACAAGTCAAAATTAGAAAAATGGTRCTTCCTGTGAAAATGCAGTGTAAATGCTGAAAGCTGAAGGATTGCAGAAATTTGCTGAAGAAGCCGAATTTAAGCTGTTCGAGCTAAAAAGGCAAAACRAGCTAAAACCTAATAAGAGCAAAGTTCAACTGAAAGCCAAAAGTAACAAAATACTTGCTGAAAGCTAAATGTAGCAACGTTAATGGTACCAAAAACAAAAAAAAAGCTAAATAATTGCCAGAAGCTAAATGAAAACGGATAGCTAAAAGATGTAAAATGCTAGCAAAAAGCAACTAAAGGTTCGGAAAAAAAGTATGCTGTAAAAACCAATTAGTTATCATTACTTWAAAAAGCTTGTAAACTCATCACACTTACAAAAACAAGTATGCTGAACTA